TTCCATGTTCTTGGTTCATTTAATTCATTAGCTGAGATAGTTTTATAAAGGCACCCTTATAAAACTGTTTTCTGGGTACCAAAATGAATTCATAAAGGAGAAAACAATCCGATAAATGTTTAATTTTCCCAGTTTTCAAGGCAATGGACTATTGATTCCCTGCCAATTAAAATACGAAGCATTATGCTAAGTGTATGCACTTGAACATACTTGATAGCCTCCAGTGTAAGCCTTATCCTTATTAAAGCTCATTTATCTCTTTCTGGGCCATGGGCTTTTTTACATCAACCTTGAATACTGTTTACGTGACCTCAGTTGTCTTTCATAACTTCTTCATTATCAGGAGGAGGCCAGATCATCAGAGCTCATCTTGCACATTTCTCTGATAAATCTTAGTGGGATTCCAAGATGAGAGATTGTGCAGTAGGGATGCTCACTGATCGCATGTGATTGTTGTTTCCATGGTGTTCTAGTTGACAAAACACTCCATCTACTCCCATAAGTATGCCTATATTAGCTTGGTGTGCAGCAGCTTCACTTACTCTCTGAACCTCTCTCTTTTTTTCCATGTGAATAGTTGTTTGTTGGTTCTCAAGGACACAAGAGATGCTGGAATAAGAAGACTACTTCATCCCCAGTTACCCCTGGCTGACCCCACATTGTACACATAACTACTTCAGAACAATAGGGACACCAGCATCATTAAATATGGTTGCCAAAAGCAACTGTTGAATATTTTTGCCTCTGCTATTTTCCTTTCTTCTCATTTCTATGATTATCAGATTGATCCATCAGATCAGCATTAGTGGACCATATTATTTATAATTAGTTTGTCTACCAAGAGTGGAGAGTTTAATGAGTTTTGATAATATACAATGTCTTACACCACAAATTAAATAAGTATCACAGTCAATTTAATACCCCAGATGTGTGTATGTATGTACATAATGTGCATGTTATATATTTAAATGATCCAGCACATCAACCAATGTAAATATATATAGCCCAAACTAATCCCATCCCCCTGCAGTCTCCTTTCCTTGACTCTTAGTACCTAACAACCATAATCTGTTTTATGACACAAGTGTTTTATTCTTATCAATGTTCATGTAAATACTATCATAGTTGAAACATTTGGTGTCTGACTTTATTCATATAGCTCAGGACTTTGACATTTATGCATACTGATATATTTTACTTTAATTTTGTTGTAGGACTATATCACTATTCTTTCTACATTTTAAAGTGGATTTTATTAGAATACTTATTATGGATAATACTTCATTATGACCTTTTCAGACATGTAAATAATATATCTTGATAATAGTTACTCCCATTACCCTCATTTACCCTCTCCCACTCTCACTGATCCTCCCCCTCTTCCCAGCTAGTCCCTTTCTGTTTTAATGCCCCCCTTTTTCCTTTGGGGAAGCAGTGAATTTAATCAGAATTGCTTTCAGGAACTTTGGTAAGGAGTTCTTTACATGAGGATGGGCAACTTGCCAGTGGCTATACCACTGAAGAAAACAATCGTTCCTTCCCATAGCAATGATTAGTTCTTACAGTTCATTTTTCATTCACTCAGTGATTGACATCTAGATTGCTTTTAGTTGGCTATTAAGAATAAAACTGTTGTGGTCATTTGCATATATGTCTCTACAGCATTTCAAAAAATTTCTCTTGGGCAAAATTCCTTGGAGAGAAACTGCTGAGTCATCTAAAGTCATGCTCTCTTAGAAAACAACAATAAACCCCATAAATGAGATACACCACTTTATATTCAGGTTAACCATGAAAGTTCGTATCAAACCTCTTCCTGCTAACAGAGAAATAGTGGAATTTCACTGCATTAAGGCAAAACTGTAACATCCAATGTACACATGGATCAGAGGCCCCAGGAAGGCAACGAACACTGTTTTTGTCTAGGCTCACCACGGTTCCTTTTCTGTGGGGCCATTTTGGACTCAGACTTCTACTATGACTATATGGACATAACACTGACATCCATACTGGTTTGTATTAGTCAGCTAATACTGTTGTAACAAATACAACAAATGTTGATACACAGAGTGGTGATCTATTCTCACAGTCTGAGATACTGGGGTCAGTCGGGTTTGTGTTTCTGAGGCCCTTCTTCTGCATGGTCTGGGGACTACACTTTCTGTGCTTCTTCATATGGTCTTCCTTCTGTGTGTGTCTAGGTCCTACTCTCTCACATGACACAGACATCCTGGCTTACAGTCTGAAATGTTAAGGGCTGACATTTCAAGACAGGAATTTGGGAGAACACAATTAACCTCCTAAGAGTGTTCATCATGTACTGTGGTCATGTTTTTGTCCCTTGTAGAGAAGATGGTGTTTTTTAGCAGAAAGTAGCTTTTTACTTACTAATGTGATTTAGATTTTAAATGTCTCCACAAAGCTCATATGCTTACGTTTTGGTCCTAATGATGGTGCTATTGGAAGGTGGGGCTGCTGTAATTTTTAAAAAGTCATTTAAGAGAGAAAGATGCCATGAAACAGAATTCAAGTGGAGAGGTTTTTAGGGGAAAAGGGCCATAGAAAAGGGAGAGGGGATGGGGAGGTCTGCCTCTGGGGACAGCAGCAGTGGGAGAGAGGAAAGAGAGGCAGAGAGAGGTGGGGAACAGCAGACAGAGAGAGGAAGAGAAAGAAAGAGAGAGATGGGAGGTGGGCAGAGTCCTTTTAAACGGGAACATAGTGAATATGCAGATATGCTGCTATTAGTGGCAGCAGCTGAGGGCTTATCCTGTCAGAACTCCAAAGGCAGACCAGAACAAATGCCTGAATACAAGCAGGGGATACTTTAGGGAGCAGGGCCTAGTTGGTGGAAGTAGTTCACAGGGGGTACAGCCTTGAAGAGAATATTGGGACCTTAGCCCATTTCTCTCTCGCTCTCTGAGTGTGTATGTGTGTGTGTGTGTGTGTGTGTGAGAGAGAGAGAGAGAGAGAGAGAGAGAGAGAGAGAGAGAGAGAGAGAGAGAGAGAGAGAGATTTTTTTCAAGGCATGGTCTCACTCTGGCTGTCCTGGAACTCTCTATGTAGACCAGGCTGGACTCAAATTGACAGAGATCCCACAACTGGGATTAAAATGAAGCACCACTATGCTGGCTCTTTCTGTGTTTGTTTCTCAATGACTGTAAGTTGAGTAGTTTCCTCTACCACACTTGCCTGCCATGATGTTTTACCTCACCGTAGTCCAGAGAAATAGGGTCAGACAATCCTGAACCAAAATGTGAGCCAAAATGAAAAATTCAGGGTCAGTGAGATGGCTCACTGGGTACAGCACTTGTTGTGCAAGCCTGACAACTTTAGGTAAGTCCCAGGAGGCCTGGAAAGGTAGAAGGAGGGAACTGAGCCCACAAGGTTGTCCTCTGCCTTCTATATGTGTACTATGATATATAAAGGCTTTCACACACACATCAAACACAAACGTAGTAACAATAGCAAACATTTAAATGGATTAGGAAAGCTCAAAGCTCTCATCCGAGAAGTTTCTTTGTGCAGTGGCAGGTAGTCAATGCAGAAACTTACAGCTAAGTGGAGAGAAGTGTTCCCTATATGGGACAACCATGTCACCTTCTGCCCCAAGGCTCAGGGACCACTGGAGAAGAGGGAGTAGAAAATTGTCAAAGTCAGAGATCAGGCAGGACTGGAGGGAAACAGTCCTGGACATGACAAGAAGATGTAGTCATGAGCTCCCAGCAGTCATGTTTGCCTGCACAACACCAGAAGAAGAGCGAGCCAGTGAGCATTCCAGCATAGAGTGGGAGGGCTTTACAGATCCCCACCCCAACCAAGGTAGATGGCTTCTGAGGGAGGGAGAGTCCATTTTCTTTAAGGGTATGGCCCATGGCAAGTAGTTTATGCTCTGGTAGACAGTCTACACTCAGGAAATGTTGGGCGCCATTGGACACAACGCATTATTAACAAAACTTGAAGTGGAGGCGGATACGGAGGTGGAGGAGGATCTCGGGAGAACTAAGGGAAAGAGCAGTGGTGAATATGCTCAAAATACATTGAAATTCTCAAAGAATTAGTAAGTATATCTTTTAAAGATTAAAAAGTAAACATTTCTCCAGAGGCAGAGGCAGGTGGGTATCTGTGATTTCAAGGACAGCCTGGCTTAATGAATGAGTCCTAAGAAAGTCAAAGATACAGAGAAACCCTGTCTGGAAAAGCCAAACCAGTCAAACCAAACCAAACAAAACCAAACAAAACAAAACAAAAAACATTTCTTCCTTGATCTGTCTTAGAGATTTTTGTCATAATGATGGAAACCTAACACACTCCCAAGGCATCTATGCCCAGATCACCTGAGCTTCCTGCAGAAGTCTGTAAAATGGCCTTAAATTCTTTGACTCAATTTTCCCAACCCTTACCGCTGTTTTTGCAACAGAGAGAAGGATGGTGCCACCATCTTTGTCATGGCTGCTCTGCAGCTACTACCACCGTTTGCTTTGTGGTTTTACTGTGATCTCCTGGGATGCCCCTTACCCCTTCCTCCATACCCAGTCCTGCCTGCTCAGGGGGCCTCCCATTATGCCTTCCTTTTCATTTCCTCACAGCTGCACTTTTAACTAAAAAACTTCACTCAGGTCCTAATTCAACTGGCCTTGAATAATCTCAATGCCATTTTGGAAAATCATTCTTTTTTCTCGTCCCTTCTCTTTGTCTCCGTGGCAAGGAAGCCACGCAGACTGAGCAGGCTCCTTCTCAGTAAGCATTGTGTCTGTTCCTCGGTCTACTTTTGAATTTAACTTTTCAGTAATGGAGAAGTTTCTCTGCCACCCCCTGAGCTGAGCGTTATCAACTTGGATTTGCATATAAGAAAACCTGGAGCAATTGTGAAAGAAAACAGGCAAATGAGAGCTTGTTTGTTTACAGCAACTGCAGACAGGTTCACAGTTGCTTTCCCACAAAAGGCCCAAATGCAGCTTTCATGGCTGTCCCCAGGTAGTAATCTATGCACAGCTCCTTACCTTGCAATCAGTCAGGAGGTTATGCACGTGGGGCACCTTCTATAAGAAAGGATACACAAAGATATTGCTTCTTGCCAATGTTACAAAACACAGCTCATGAATAAATTACTAGCTTACCTCCCACACCCCATAAGTGTGACTCAGTCCCTTCAGGACCTTCTGAGCAGGCTATGCAAGCCAGAGGTCCTTAAAGCTAATGTTTCATTAGCATCATAATTGTAATAAATGCTGCCTGTTTGTTGTTTGTCTCCCGTACCAGAGCTAAAGCCAGCTTACTGTATTTGTCACATGGATCCCACGGTCCTGGCACAGTTCTATAGTCAACAGTCAGTAGATATTTGTTAAGTGAAATTAATTGCTGGAAGCCAGGAAGAGAGAATGACAATGGTGACGGGTGTCCCATAACTACCTGAGTAACTATTTTCACACAGCACAGATCCAGTTGAGCAGTCTGAAGTGGTTAACAAATCACCTTGAACACTAAATATAAGGGCCACTTAGGTCATCTTGCCCCAGGGATTGACTCCTCCCCAAGCACCCTCCCACAGAGCCTTCTGCAGCCTTAGAGGCCAGGCCTTTACCTAGAGTGTCCTCCCAGGGTTTCTGGAAGTCCCCAGCCCAAGGCCTGAAGTTTGCAAGACCATTGGCTGAGCTGGGAGCCGGGGAGCTGGGTGACCTTTAACAAAGAACTTCAAGGCTTATTCTTTCTCCCAGACTTGCCAGCAGAAGACATGATAATCACTGACCTTTTCCTAAGGGTACTCCTCAAGCTGTCACGGAAAGAAGGCCTACAGTACAATGGAGAAAAGTTGACTTTCCCTCTGAGATTAAAGTGCCTGCTGCTATCCCACCATAGACACTCCAAGACAGGAGCCATCTGCACCAGCAGCAATTTCCCAGCAGTGATCCAAGGATAAACTCGCAGTGAGAACACAGCATCCCTTCCGAAGAGCAGGGTCACCAGCAGATCCATCTAGAGAGCAGGGTGCTGTCTCTGTCTGCACCACACAGCATCTGGTTCTTCGTAGGAGCTCCACACCCATTGCTGAAAACGCTAAGATGGAGTTTCTATTTCTTGTTTCTCTGCCTTGGGCAACTTTGATCTGATGCTTCCAGAATTTGGGTGTGTGAGCTGGGGTGAAGTCCTTCCTCACGACATTGTACTAGGCACACTTTAAAAGCCAGAGTTGTAAGAGAAAGAATTGTAATAACAGGCATTTAGAGATTAAAGCAGTTTAGGAGAGAGAACACAAACACAAGGAATAGCAATAGAAAAGAAAAGTGATGTGGTTCGTGAAGAAACACCACGTACAAAATCACAATACAAACAAAAGATGGGTTCTCAACGGAGCTGAGAGGGCCTGGGGGCTTGTGCTGTTTGAAGCCCTGTGTTTGGACCAAACGTCTGGTTCTTTCAGTTGAGGACTTTGAGGCAATTTCCTTAATTTGCCTAAATTGTCTCTTTTCTGTTGCTATAACAGGATGTTGAGATTGGATGATATTTTTTAAAGAGGATTGTTTTGGTTCACGGTGCTGAAAGTTGGATGACCAGGAGAAGGGGACCTGGCTCTGCTGAGGAATTCAACTCAGGGTAGAAAACAGAGCAGAACATGAGCGTGTGCAGTAGAGAGAAAGGGGGCTGAACCTCAGGAAGGCTCACTCATTCCTACAAGAAAAATGCAGAAGCTGTTTACGAGGGCTCTGCCTGCATTTCCCAAGTACCTCCCCCCAGGTCCCACCTTCCAACAGCTCCACACTGAAAGACCAAACTTTAACATAAAGGACTGGAGAGGTTGTGGAAGGGTAGAACTCTTGCCCAGTATTCAAGAGGTCATGAGTCCAGTGGCCAGCACTGCAAAGCAAACATGCCGATGGAATACTTAACATGGACTTTGATGAAGATAAACCACATTCAAGTCACAGTTTCAGCCTTATTAGCTTGACTTACAAAGAAAGGACTAATGACAGTTCCTAACCCAAGGTCTGTGTGGAATTTCAATGGGGGAAAATATGAATATTGCTTGGCCGTTCCCGGCCTCAACAATAAGCAGCTGCTAACCATCACCCAACAACCAAAACACAATTGGAATCAGCGAGGATCAAAAGCTGAAAATCGAGGTGCAGCCTATGGATGGGCTCTGAATAGTCTCACTTTAGTGAACTAGGTGAAAGCATGAAGGTCAGGCAGGCATGCACGTCTTTGTCAGAGAATAATTTTGTTGCTAGCAATGTCTTACTTAATAGGAACCTTCTGTTCCAAAAGTGACAGGGAAAGAAGGATGGGGCAGGACTGATCACCTCTGAGGTCCACCCTCCATGGCCACCACGAGTTTTTGTCACAAGGCAGAAAAGCTGCTGCCACATGCATCAACCCTAAGTCGGGAGTCTGCAGAAGGCAGAAGCCAAGGCCACAGGAGTATTTAAGTTGGCCAAAAGACAGTCTTCCCTTTATTTTTAATGAAAATTATTTCTAGCCATTCTGCATACTTTTTAAATATCAGAAGGGCAAGAAGTTGTACACTAGCAGGCTTCTGGAAGTCCATACTTTCTCATTATGAGATGCTTATCTGACAACAGTTGTTGACCTTGGTTGTGTGTCATATTTCCTAAGAAGGGCCTAAGGAAAGGAACATATACACTTAGGGTAGACGTATGGTGAGTAGGTTTTAATTCAAGATCAGAAATGACTTCACAGTGAAATCAAAATAAAGATGTTTTCTGCCATGCAGTATGCATTTATCTTAAAGCATTGAAGGAAAACAATTATTTGGTAGTTTATTGGTGCTTTTTTTTTAAATTTTAGTGATATGGATAACTATAAGGCCCTCAAAGAGAAATGACTAAGAATTGGGTCTAAAATGACCACAGGAAAGGTAAAAGTAGCAACATTTTAGGGCTGGAAAAAAAATACAGATGCATTCAATACAGTCGTTGTTGGTCTCCAGCATCAGCCAACCCTTTCCCCACTCAACGGAAAGTGAGATTTAATTCATCAGAGATTAAATTCATGAAAAAAATATGGACATACCTATTTACTCAAGATTAGGCTCACTGGAAAGAAAGCACTGTAAATCTGGGAATTGTAACATGGAAAAGCTACTAGAGTTAGGGTATAATTTGGAAAGAAAATGTAGTGACCTCATGGACAGATGGCCAGGGTGGAATACTGAAGAAGAAAAAAATGTGATTGCAAAGCAATCTGTGACTCATAGCCCCAGAATGAGTAGGTAAAGCCCACAGAGAGGCCTACTTACACAAGCAGCCAGCTTTGTATGAGACGGGAAACACAAGGAAGGCTTGAAAGGGTATAGCTAATGAAATTTGAAGTTCTTTGGGCATACGATTGGTCCTGACCTGCAAGAGATGGCGGCAAGACCAGGAGGGGACTAGTTTGTGATGGATGCAGATCTACCAGCTTTGGGGGTGAGGTTTTCCCCACTATGGTTCTGCTGACCTGGATGGAAGGTGTTGGATACTTCAAAAGTATACAGAGGGAGAATGGAGTGTGCAGACAGTTTTGCTTAGTGGGTAGAACTGGATGAGGAGGAACAAAAGAAAGGAGAAAAAGACCAAGGTAGCTATTCATAGACATGTGCAGCAGTGAAATAATAGGGGAAATGAACTTTTGTTAAATCCCAGAAACCTTGAATATGCGGCCCCATTTGCCCCTAACTGCAAACCTAAAGAAACAGAATTATAACCTACTCTCCTTCCGAAGACCAGTGAGACGCAGTTAGAAAGTAGTGGTTGATTTTATGTGTAGATAGACAGGGTGGCACATGCTTATGACCCCCAGCACTGGAGATGCTGAGGAGGGACTATCTCAAGATCCAGGCCAGCCTGGGCTACATAGCAAGATAGTGACTCAAAAAGAAAAGCAAATTACACATCAACCCAACTGGGCCAGAGGGTGCCCAGATGTCAGTTAAGTATTTATCCTTGGTGTTTTGAGATAGCATTAATCTAGTCCCTTTGGTAAAACAGATTGTCTTCTAAAGTACATCTGGACCAATACAATCTACTTCAAGGCCCAAGGAAACAAAGTAGCTGGCCTTCTTAGTTAGAAAACATCTCCTTGGTGAAGTGCCTTTGAACATTAGCTTTTTCCTGCCTTTGACCCTGAAAGGAACATTGGGTCTTTCTGGGCCTTGAAGCTGACAGCATTTAAAATGAAATTTATCCTATTGACGATCCTGGTTCTTAAGCCTTCAGGCTTGGAGTGGTGTTAAACCATTGATTCTCCAGGAGAGGCAGACAGGGAGGTGGGGAGAAGGAGAAATACGTGACAGCTGTATACATGTACCCATAGAGGAGGTGGGGGCATGGAGAAACCCTCTCTATCTGCAATCAACAGGCACATCAAGAAGCCATTTTAAAAAGACCCACAAATCAACAGCTAGGGACCCAAATATTCTTCCCTGGATATGCCATGGAAAGTAAAGCAAGCTGGCCCACAGAATAGCTCTAGATTTTGTCAGGGAGCATTTTGAGTCGGAACACAGTGTCTAGTGAAGTGGAAATCTGGTTTGAGCCATAGTCTGCAGTAGACCACATAGACACATTCTGAGTGTAATAGAGAAGTCCCAAGATCAAGCCTTGAATAGACACCCAGAGGCACTGCCAGCACCTGTGATCAGACCTGAGAAGGATCACCCAGCGGCATGATCAACATCCCAAGTCCCCAAAGGTCTTCCCAGAGGGTCAGCACCAGGGTCCACAAGAAAGACCATACACAGGCTCCCAACCTCTACTCAGATCTTTTCTCTCTCTTGTATTCTTTCCATATTTAATATATAATGCCATGTTAGTGGACCAGTTCTGTCCTCCTCTGTTCTCTCCTTTGCCTTTTCTTCTTCTTCTTTTCATTTTTAAGATTGTATTTTAATTATAACATTTTGCTCTCCCTTATCCTCCCTCCAAGCCCTTCCATATAGTCCTTCCTGGTCTCCTTCAAATCCATGGCCTCTTTTCTCATTAATTGCTATTGCATGCATATATGTGTTGGGCCCTTCCCCCATAGGGATCTGCTGATCAGCTTGTGACTAGGAGCTTCTAGCAAATGCTTCCCTCCTTCCAATTAAACCTGAATGAAATTTCCTGTTTTCCACCCGTCCTTATTGCCTGAATGCAAGTTCGTGTTATGTGCCTATCCTTATTGAGGAGAGTCCTGGGAACGTGTACTTCTGACCTTGGTAGTTTTCCACCATGCCTGCTAATTGGTATATAATGCTCCCCTCTTGTTGCAATAAATGGCATTCTCCTTGCAAGAATGACCCGCTGTCTTTTGTCTTCATTTCAATCCTCAGGCCCTCGCCCAAATCCTTGAAGAGTTCTGCAGCCCAGGTGCTACATATATGTATTTATATATACATATCCCCAAATACAATCTGTTAAGTCCATATAATGTTACATGTATGTATGTTTTCAGGATGACTGGTATTGGACAAC